GCCATAATATTTTGTTAAAAATAAATTGTAAGGAAGAACGTAATAACGGTTTTTATTCTGCCGCCAAATTATTTTTAAATCATTTTACATACGCCATTTGTGTAAGCATTAGAGTCATTTTTACAGAGTTATATGACAACATATATCAAGGATCTTCCAGAGTATCGTCCTGGGGCTTGATATTCGTGAGTGGTAGACTTAAGTCGCGATAAGAAATGAAAGATTCTAGGTTGTACGCGACGCGGCTTTTCAGTTTTGCTTTCCTGGTGCCATTGTTATTACACACTGCTGGTGCGACTATCCAATTTTGATATCCATACAAATAAATAAAACTTCAGTATCTGTTTGTAATGTCAAAATAACAGCTTTTTACTAAGTGCATATGAAAGTATATACGGTACTTATAACTAAAACACAATTTTTAAAAATGTTATGTTTTTTCCGGATAATCTCCGAAATGACTGGACCGATTTTGACGTGACTATCACTGGCAGATAGCTATGGGGAGGTAGGTTATAAGGAGTTTCATTTTGGCAATAGAGGTTGGTTCCGCGCAAAAAATACATCGCTATATTACACGGGGCGAAGTCGCGGGAGGCAGCTTGTTCGTATAATAAAAACGATTATAATACTGTATTATTATATACATATCATCACGCCTGTAATCACCGAGGAAAATATGGGGTTAAATGGAAACTTGTTTAAGAAGTTATAGGTGACTAACCCATCGTATCCCATTGGTTGCCTTTTACGAAATGCGAGACAAGTATCACAGTTTGAAAATTATTAGATGTTTTAAGTCCTATATAGCCATGGGACCTATAAATCCCAGACCAACATGGGACAAATTTATGTGCATGTGTGTTAAATACACAATTTCTTTTTATCGACTTGAAATAGAAAGAATTAATTTATGTTTTTCGCGTATTGCACGTGGTAGAGCCACGCTGCAGCTATATTGTAATTGTAGCACGAATGGGTCGGCTCAACCAGAGCAGGACCACGCTCTCACAGAATACCAGCGTAAAATAGCAGCGTAATGCTGCTGTGTTTTGTATGGTGAGTGTAGAGAACCGGAGACCCTTTTTACAGGACTCGAGGCGTTCCATCTTAGTCCCCAGGGGTGACAACGCATTTGTACTTTGATTCTTAATTGAGGATAAATGAGGTTACCTATGGGCGACAGCATCTACTTACTTTCAGGTGGACTGTGTGCTCGTTTGTCACCAATGCTATAAAAAATAATTGATTTCGAATACATTGATTCGGTCGTATTGAAGTCGGTTGTACAAATTTTTTAACTCTTTCCCCTTGTTGTGTATAAATCTTCTGTAATGAAAGAAAGAACCATTTTTGTTTGTCACTCAACTCCTCCTAAATGACTGGACCGGTTTTAATGGAATTTTTAAATGTGGTTGAGTTGGTCCCTGGGTGGTCTTGGCTCACAATTGGATCTGGTAGATGGTGCTGTTGTCGAGATCCAGAAATTACCCGTGAAAATCCAGGGCGGACTGCTAGAGTACAATATATATATATATATATATATATATATATATATATATATATATATATATATATATATATATATATATATATTAGTACCGCATTTTTATAAAATAAGAGTGACAAACGAGCGCGGAGTCCACCTGATATTAAGTAAACGCTGCTAAACACAACATCTAATGCGAATTAAAATGTAATTGTTTTGTCACCCAGGATAAGATGGAAGGTCTCGTTATTAGTAAAAAGTGTCTCCAGTTCTCTTCACTTATTACACGAAATTTAGCATGGTGCGTGCAAACCCTCTCAAACACGCTACTACCACAAAATTAAACTTTTATTAAAACGAAAAGCTGGCTTTAAAGATAATAATGGTGATGGAAATAGTGTATAAAAGGATAAAAACCACGACTTGAGAAGCTACTCTGTGGAAATAACATTTTTGGCATTTTGATGATGAGTAAGGAATGTTACAAGGTAACAACTTGAAGTCGATTCAACAGCTTAAAAACTTCATCTCCTATTTTTCCACTCTTAGGCGTAGAATTTATCAAATTAATTTGGAACCACTCCTGACGTATAACCAACTATCGGTAACATACATAAAAATAAAGAAAAAATGAAATCGATATCTAGAAAATTTAATGTATGTTCACACAAACAAAAGTAGTTTTAGAAAAAAATAGGTGATATTTACTCTGTAAACTCTAGGAACAGCCACAAGCTAGTGAATCCAGCTTCTCGACTCCATAGAGTCGGTAATTCATTCTTGGTGCAAGGTGGAGTTTTTTTTACGAACCAGTGGTAAATTAAAAAATGACGTTCAATAAGAATTACATACATGTGATCTATATTGAATAAAAATTATTTTGTTATTTTATTTAGAAAATACGGATCTAAAATGTAAGTACACAATTCTATTATTAATATTCAATTCAGCGGTCATTTTAAAACTAGAAACAAGTTATTTAAAAGTGTGTCAGATTTAATGAAAAGAAGATATATTTTTATCCACCAAATTAAAAAGCCGTGTGTATTGGCCGCGGGGGTAGATCCATTAACTTTATTTGCTGACATTTCCCCTAAACTAAACGAGGTCGGCCATCGGCAGATTGGAATGATATATTGTTCAGAGAACTCATTTGGTAAGAAGTTATTTGAAGTCGTTCAGATTAAGTACAACATCAAAAATTTCTTTTGTAAGTGGAGAAGCCAAACGACAACTTAGGATTTGTAAAAGTATCCCGCGCCCCCTTGAGGATAAAAAAAGTCTGGAACTGATAACTGTTTATCCGCAACACTGTACTTTGACACATTCAACGGCTTCCTCTCTAAATTCAAAAAGGAAATATTATACACGTTATTATACGTGGTAGAGACAAGCTGCAGCTAAATTATGGTTGTAGCACGAATGGGTTGGCTCGATCGCGGCAAGACCACGCTCTCACAGAATATCAGCATAAAATAGCAGTTTAATGTCGCTTTGTTTGGTATAGTGAATGTAGAAAACCGAAGACCTTTTTTACTGGAATCGAGGTATTTCAACTGGTTCTCAGAGGTGATAACGCAAACGAGGACGTTTGTAGATGTTTATGGACCACAGCATGCACTTAACATCAGGTGGACTGAGTGTTTGTTCTATAAACAAAATTTGCTGCAAAGTTATTTGGTTAAATTTTCCTGTAGTTCTTATGTTACTAGAGATGATGAAGAGTTACATTTAGTTATGTAAAAGATGATCTTTGACCATGAACACCTACAACCTTCTGAAACGAAGAAGACTACAAAAAGGCTCTTTGTCACCTCCGAGAACCAAGATGGAATGCCTCACAGACCATAACTCAACAATACACGCGCTACTGTTTGACAACAAAAGAAAATAATCCCTAAGAGCGTGGTTCATATACAGACTCCTGGCCAGAAAAGCTGCCTTAACCTTTGCGTTCTAGCTTATCTCTGATCTTATTTTACGAGAGTTACATCAAGCGCCAATATGCAAATACAGGCGCTTCTCTGTTAGGTGTAGTCCTTTATCACGTGAGGTACGAAGAGGGGGAAGGGGAGTTAGAAAAAATCACACATAATCACTATGGCGGATTATTAAATCAATGTTCGTGCGACGAGTATCATATTCCAATAATCCCATAATTAATGTTATTTATTTAATTTTAACCGCCTTCAAAAAAAATGTTATATATTCGATGTCTACGTTTCTTAAAAGATTTTTTTATGTTAAATAGGCTAATACTTCAAGGACAATCCCATTTTAATGAAAAATAAAATTAGGTGCATTTTATGGGGGATAAACAGGAAATTCATTATTAAGATAACTATTCTTTAAAGACTATCACATGTTCAAGGTATCAACTTTGAACATGTGATATTCGCCAAGTTTTAATAATTTGAAATTCCTCAAATCAAATGCAATCAAAACAATTTTATTGTGATCGACAGGTTATAAGGTGTTAGGAAATGATAATAGTATTTGTTGTATAAATGCAGTATTATGTAATTTTATCCATATACAAATATGAAAACAAAGGGTCTCTATTTAAGTATTTAACGTAAAAGTTTCAGTATAAAGGGAGAATAAACATAATTATATTTTTTATGGGATAGGTTGACAAACGAGCACACAGTCCATCTGATGGTAAGTGGTTGCTGTGGCCCATAGACATCTACATCTATCCTCAATTACAAATTAATATGCAGATGCTTTGTCACCCGTAAGGACTAAGATGGAATGCCTCGTTTCCAGTAAAAGGGTCTCCCGTTCTCTACACTCACCATACGAAATACAGCAGCATTAAGCTACAAACTAAGCGAATAATACGAAATAAAGCAGCATTAAGCTACATATGAAATAATAAGATTAAAATTAATATTCATAAACCTGTCACTACCTAGTGACTAAATTACTGAATTTAGTTATAATTAAATTTATTCATTAATGTTAATTAAATTGAAGATATTATTGAGTAAAAAATGCATTGTCAGTTAACATTTTTAGTAGTTTACTTTTAAAATCATCCAGTTCTTGGTAACGTATGTCACCAAGAACTGGATGGTTGGTGAGCTTTGGTGCCTTAACAATTTTTGTTAAGGCACTCTCAAAAAACTCGTAACTAAAAATTTACTAACAAGTAAATACCGTCTTAAAAATCTATCAGTGTGGAAGTGCTCTGGCAATACGACTAAAATTTAAAGTACTAAAATAAAGTAGATAAATATTTCACAATTAAAAATATGCTTGAATTGTAATATATGTATATATTGGCTTGAATTGTAATATATATTGTAATATAATATATGCATATATAGGCTGTAACTTTACTTTTACTTTTTTTGAATTGTAAAAAAATATAATTATGTGTTGCTGAATACACCATGTCTTTTCTTTCAGTGGATATTCTGATTAATATGATAGGAGGTAGCTGCAGTTAACCTTGGATATTCACGTAAAGTTTCAAATAAGATGCAAATAACAAAAACCAACTCACCATCTCCGGCTACCAGGAAAGCATAATTTAACGCCAGTAGCGCCAAGCACGCTGACGTCGCTCTCATCTGCAAACAATATATATCTTCAGCATATATCATACATGCTTATTTTGTACAAATACTATAACACATTTATATTCTCAATAACCGGCCAAATTTGCAGAAAAGGTACAAATAAATAATACTGAAATGTACTAAATTCGTGTGAAAGTATATACGGTACTCATATCATAAACAATTTGTCTGTCTGTTTGTTCCGGCTAATATCAGAAATTTCATGCAAGAGAAGTCGCGAGGAACAGCTAGTAAGTAATATAGGCAAATTGTGAACAAAATTTGACTAAAAAAATCTCAAAGATTCTGTCTTCTTTATCTTTTAAAATTCAAAATGCGTGGTAATGCATTATATTAACTGATTTTCGTAAGAGTCGGTCGGTAGGCAAATAAAAGTAGAAGTCTTATATACATATATTTAAAAAAATGCAATAACGATATACAATCATTTGTATAATTGAACTTAAGATTAAAATTTTGCTTAAAAGTAATAACATAAGTGTAACTTTAATAAATTAATATATAAAAGTATGAAAATGAAACTAAAGCTAGAGATAATTTTTGCTTAAATATCAAAAACATCAGTTTGATCGGTAACTGTCAGAGTTCGACGATATTTTTTCACATAAAATAAGGGTGACAAACAAGCAAACAGTAGGCCTGATGATAAGTTGATGCATACGAAACATAGCAGTATTAAACTGCTTTTTACGCTGGTATTCTGTGATAGCGTGGTCCTGCCGCGGTCTTGCCAAACCCGTTCGTGCTACAACCTTAATTTAGCTGCAGCTTGGATCTACCACGTATAAAAAAGTGTATAATATTTCCTTTTTGAATTTAAAGAGGGAGTCACTAAATATGTCAAGGCTATCAGATTTGTTATCGAATTTATTATACAGTACAGTCAGGTCAGTTGAAGTACAGGCGTGTGTTTTCCTAAATTAGTTCTGTCAAAGCGACAATTGAATAAAGGACGCGGATGTCGAGGTATTCTTAGTACGTTAAACGAAAATTTACTAAGAAGGGACGGACATTCTATTTCGCCATTTACTTTTTTAAGTAGAAACATTAAGCTTAATTGATTTCGTTTCTCCCTAAATGTTTTACTGTAATTAATTTTATTTACATATACATATTATAAAAGAGGATGTTTGTATACCTATATGAAATCGTTTAACTCAAAATCTATTTGATCGACCACCATGAAAATTGGTAAATATATTATTTTTGTAGGAGAAGGTTTATATTAATAAACTTAAAAAAAAAATCAAAAAAGATTTGAATAAAACAAAATTTAAAATTTTTAATTTTATTTGCTTTTAATAAACTAAAAGGCATGTCCCAAAATAAAATAAAAAACGTTGCTGAAAATAACCCATTATTTTATCTGGCATGACGTCTGCGGGTTCAGATAGTTTTATTTATACATATAAGATTTCACATCTTGGTTTTCTAACAGTTTGGAAAAAATTGTTTCTGGCTCTTACTATTCTAACAATAACTTTAAGTTGTAATACTTGTTAATTGAAGATCAGACAGGATTACAATTTTCAAGCTTACTACTGACGTAACTTTTATTAAAGCATTAATGTGGTAGATATTTACTTTGATTTTATTCAATATACAGCTGTCCTGGCGTGAAGTATCGCCGCACCCTTGCAAGGACTCCTAGCTTTCTTGCAGCTGCTTTGGCATTGGACTCAATGAACCGCCCGAAGTTCAGATTTGAGGATATCTCAACCCCCAGCAACTGGAGGTGGTCGGTGTATTGCAGTGATAGATTTAGGGATAGGGAAGAAGGACTCAAGCTGAGCTGGCTCCTTTTTCCAGTGATAAAGCACGCTTGTGTTTTGGAGGCATTGAATTTCACAAGATTAGCATCGGCCCATTCGGAGTCTGCATGTAGTGTGGGATTCATACGCTCAGCTTCTCTTTCGGGGTGGATTTGATCCCGACTGGCCCGAAGACCTGGTTGGTATCTCTCAACAACTGTGCTGTCATCTACGTACCCATAGATACAGGGCATAAGCAAATCATTAATATGCAGCAGGAAGAGAGTTGCGGAGAGAACGGAGCTCTGTGGAACACCGGCGTTAGTCGTCACAGGATCAGATGATGACCGTTCACTTGGAAAGTTCTATACCCAGTCAATCAGATTAGTAGATAAACCGTACAATGGAAGCTTATCCAAAGGTGCCAAACTCTGTCAAAGGCCTTCGAGACATCAAGGGAAACACCAAGTGCTTCTCCACTGTTCTCGAATGCCTCGCCCAATACGTGTGTGGCATACGCTAGAAGGTGGATGATGACTGATTTCAGCAAAAACCGTATTGCCGGTCACTAAGGAGGTCATTCTGTTCTAGGTATGCCATTAAGCGGGCGTCCAATATACGCTCCATAATCTTGCAGAGTATGACGGTAATTGACATTGTCCGATAATTGGCAGGGTCAGCACGACTGCTTTTTTTTGGAACAGGCTGTAGGTTGGCCAGCCGCCAGGGTTTTGTCACTATTCCAGTCCTAAGTGAGAGGCGGAACAAGCGTGTCAACACAGACACGACAAATTATTTATCATTTGTAAGAATAAATCCCCGAGATTTATGTGCCAGATCAATAATATAGACAATGTGTGTGGTAAAATGTCTATTGTTGTTTCTCTCTTTGCACACAGAAAAAGTTCCCGTACCTATGGAATATTTAAATCGACAGTTGCTCTGTACAATTTACGACAAGAATTAGTGGTATATTATCTGGACTATCTTTACGATCAAGTTTTTTTTTAATTACAGTTGTTACGGCTTGAATGTTTCGCAAAGTGACGCAAAAGAGATGAAATAAGTGAAATAGTCTTCCATTGGATCCCATTGAACTCCTAAAACCTTAAGCGTTATTGAACCATCATCAGAAAATGACTTCGGATACTGAAAATGTTCCATGGATAACGATTGAAGAAGTAAGGGGCTGTTACTGCTCCTCTTACGTAAATCTAGCTGAGCACAGTTAAGAAGATTGATCAAATCTTCTTGTTGGGGTGGTTGAGAAGATAATATCGTCCATATAAGTATGATGCTGAAGAGCTTCGGCAGCATGAGGAAACTGATCACCGTGATCTGCAGCTAACTTATGTAACGTTCGTTTCGCTAAGTAAGGCGAGCTTTTGACTCTGTATGTAACCGTACGCAGTTCAAATTCTTGAACAGACAAAGAAGGGGATTCACGCCATAGTACGTGTTGCCACACTCGATCCTCAGGCCTTATCAAGATTTGCCTGTACATCTTAGATATGTCACATGTAAACACTATGTTATGAATCCGAAATCCAGTATTAATATTGACCAAATCAACCTGTAACTTTGGTACAGTGTAAACAACGTCATTTAAAAATAGTCCTTTAGTCGTCTTGTAACTCGCGTTGAAAACAACGCGAAGTTTGGTCATTTAAGCTTTCTGGACCGATCACACAATGATGAGGAATGAAATATCTACCAGGTAAAATATCCTTACCCACTGGTTGCATATGATTAACCTGCTCATAATCACGCATGAAAAGCGTTATAAAGTGATTTAAATTCTGATTGTCAGCAAAGTTTTTTCTCAAGGTTTATAAACTGCGACAAAGAACTATTATATGAGCCTCCCATATAAACAGACAACTGCTTCAATAATATAGGAACAACATATTGACCGCCCGATTACCTATAAGTTTGAGCAGAATACAGGCGTTCGACCTCCTCATCCTCTGGAGCAGGTATATGTTGATAAGGCGGTTCCTCGACTTCCCAAAAGCGTTTTACCATCTTATTTAATGAATTCTTTGAAGTAATTAACGAAGTGCCAACCGATTTTACCTGACTCTCTACATTTATGGGTCCTGAAAGTACCTAACTAAAGACGCTATGTAAAGCAGCAGGATACCCAGGCTCTGGTTGGATGACATGGCCGTCAGAGATGTGATGAAATACTCAGCACCTAGCAATAAATCAACTTCAGACGGTCTGTCAAAGTGACGATCAGCTAATACTAAGTGCTTATAACAGTCTCGGACCGCCAGGGGAATATCAGTGGTTGGTATTTTAGAAGTAATGTTATCGATGACTATAAGATTAATATCGAATTGCGGGTCGTTCGAATCACACGGGCGTATAGAGTATTGAGACACTCCCTTGACTTGACACACAGACTGTTGTCTAAGTCCAGCCACAGTTGTGGTGCATTGACGCAATTGAAAACCAAATATTTTTGCGCAATTATGAATTGATGATTGATGAAGCAGTCCTGAGCGCCGCTATCGATGAGCGCTCTAACTTGGTGGAAGGCGCCACTAGAGTCCTGCACACGCACCATGCACGTCCCGAGCGGCACCACGCACGAGCCACGAGCCTCTCCCACGAACGTACTGGTGTTAGTGTGGGCCCTACTTGAACCGGTGGTCACCGCGGTCGGTGATCGAACTTGGTTGTCGATGTGTACCAGAGTGCGATGATTACCACTACGGATAAAACATCTCATTTTTGAAACGTATTTATCAAGAGAATGTTTTCGTAAACAGTTAATGAATAAATGATTTTGTTTGACAACATTTATTCTAGCATTGTGGTCTAAAGATTGAAATGTGGGGCACTTATAGATACTGTGCGCTGCGCCACATTAATAGCACTGTAGTGAAGCCAGCTGCTTCGAACTAGTAGGCTTAGACTGAGTAGTGAGCACGGAACGTCTGAGGTTCGATGCCCGCGGTGAAACTTTCTTGATTTGTTTACCGGCTAAATATTGAGAAGATTTAGCCCTAATGTCAACATTAGCATTTATTTCTAAACCCTTTACATAGTTTTGAAGAAACTGCATAAGACTTTAAAACGAGGGAGTTTTTCTGATTTATTCTCAGATTCAAAGCGGTGGCGCGTATCAAAATCCAGTGCACGAAACGCTGCGTTAAATAAAACAAAATCGCCTAAATCATCTAGCTCTAAGGCCTTAAGGGCATTAACTGACTCACAAAGAATATTAGTATA